CAATGTTGGTGACAACGGAGGGGATAAGTAATTATGCGGGACTATTGGTTTTTTTAAAGGGAATTGGGAAAAAGAAAAAAGGTAATGTGGGGTTTAGTTAATAAAGAAAGAGGGGAGGGGGGTTGAAGGTATTGGGGAAAGGTGGGGAGGACAGAGGGGGATTGGAGGGAATAATAAGTATGGAAGAAGTGAAAAGAGGCAGTGTTCAATTTAAGTAAGGGGTAAGCTCCGGGAATTGATGGGCTTTCCAATGATTTTTACCAGGTGCATTGGGAAAACCTTCATTAAATATAAATGTTTTGTTTGGTTAGGTATTGAACTGTATAGCTGAAGGAACGTGAAATTGGGAAACGTCACAGAGGACGGGTTGTGGTCGTGCTTGTAAAGAAAAAAGCGAGGGGAGAACACTGAGCAACGACGGGCCAATCTTTAATGGGTACGGATTATAAGATTTTTGCAAGAGTTTAGGGAACAGGATGAAGAAGGGTAATTTTTTTTTTTAATATTTTAGTTGAAAAAACGCAATACATAGTTATACATGTAAACAATTGTATGCAATGAAAACGTATCCATTATATATAAGAAAAGAAAACTACACATTCCCGACCGTAGCACCTAATCTTATACATAAGAAACTAAATAAAAGACAGCACCCAAGCTTCATATACAGGTGGGGTTTTATTACATCCCAAAATTGCAGCCCATAAACAAAAATATGCAATTTTACCCCAAGAATGTCACTGGTATTGATCCATTTACATAAAATGTATGTACGAAGTCATTTCTCAATTATCCAAAAAATTCTGTAAACTTATTATTGTTGTATATTAAACTTCATATCAATACATAATACGTAACACTCAATAATTACCGGAAACAAATAAAGGGTTAGAAATACAATCTCCACACCTCACCACAGAAAAAACTAACAGTACAATATATAATACACAAATGATTCGTCCACCTCACTTCCAGTACAATGCATTCGTCCCCACCTCATTTCCATACACTTTACATTCATCACCACAGCGTACTTAACAATCTCGTTTATTTAGGTAATTATTTTTCAAATATAATTTCCGTTTTGAGATAACAAACTTCCTTCTACCTATAATGAAATATTACTAGTCATTTATATTAAACATTAACTTGCACGAGACTATATACTTAACTCTACAGGACCGCAGCATTACTTGCCTCACATCCTTAACCCTACATAAACCATTGTACATCAACACGTCCTTTTATACCCATCTCTCGTCAAGAATATTAATTGAACTTCACCGAATACCAAACATAATTCAACTCGAGCATCGTTGAGTACATGAAAGAGTTTTTGACTACTGTCTCTTACATACTGCTATATACTCTTGATGTATGTTAAAAATCACACACATTACATTTAATCTCATTATGAGCAGTACATTTGGTACAAGACATATTTTATCACGCCGCTGTCCTTTGCTTTAATTCAAACACCAATTCCTGATATTACAATTACACATATTCCCAAATTTTACTTATCCTAAACTACTCTGGGTTCCATCCTGGTATGACCTTATACTCTTTTCATCTTGCACACAAATATTGCTCATTTCCATGTACCATGAAAATCTTTAACAACGTGTCCCTTACAAACCACCACAATCTTATTAAAACACACTCCACAATACGCTGCCATTTCAACAAATATCATGGAACTCCTCATACATTCCCAAATTCTGTGAAGAGCCGGTGGCAACCCCTGAAAATCCAAAAACATCCCCCCCCCTTTTTTTTTCCCTCACTCCGCCAACAATCCTCGACATTCATACTTCAATTTCCTTCAGGAAAATAACCCTTTCGCCATCTACTTCCATATATCCCCCTATTACGATATAGTGATTTTGTACATTGTGCAGCCATAAACTTCTTCGCACCATCCAATCCCCATACCCCTCTGGGCCATGATTACCGAAAACAAAGGTCCGTTTGATGTAGACCAAACTCGCTGCACGGACTCTTCCACACCTCCCACATCTAAACTCAATGACCTTAATACCGAGATCCCTCCCCCACACCCTCCCAAAATCCCACCCATCACTCCCGTTTTATACACTCCAAATTTTTACAAAAAATATACTAAATGAAAAAGCTGTATCCCTATCCCCACACCCACACTACATACGTCCTCACCATCAACCCTCTCTCCCGAAGCACCACACCAGGACGGCAATATGCCTTGAAGGAAACGAAACCTTACCTCTCTCCACTTTGGTTGATACGCACCAACCCCAACCTTACAAAATATCATCCCCATGCATACATTGGGTATATGCCCTCAACATTGCAATCACCCTCACCCCTACAGCACGTCCAGAACACCTACCCGTAGCCTAGACGGATCTCTAACATACAAATAAAGCTCGCAGCACCTCCTTCACACTCTCTCAATCTCTGATCCTACCCACCACTTCGTGCCTCCTCATATAATGCTTGCAACCTTCCCAACCACGACCTTCCACTCGGAGAAAACCCCTCTCAAATATATACACTTAACCCTTAAATCTTATATTATTAACCCAATCCACCTTTGTCGGACCGGTAGCACCAACAACACTTCTACCCACCAATCACACCCAGAACCCCATATATATCGAAATACCTTTTTTAGCATACTATTTTGTCCGGTCCTGCCAACGGATTACTGCTGCCACATGCCAGACACAGACCTATATAACATCACATTCCACCACTATTACACGTTGATGTATCGTCAAATGCAAGGTCTAAAAACATTTAACCTACCCACCAACCCTATCCACTGCCCTCCAGGAAATTAAGCATTTTCTTTTTTTTGTGCCTCCCCGGCATTTCCATATAAATTATCCACACTCCTTTAGATCTTCAACCACCAACCAACGCACAGCTGTTTCCCATCGCGCCCTCCTACCCAATTCCCTAAGACCATAATTTCGATTTCTCACACATTACTTTTAAACTTGTAACACCTTCAAAAACCACCAATTTACATCCTCACCTCATGTAAACTTTCCTCCCTGCTTCATTAGAATTGTTGTATTATCACATACCTATTATTCCCATCCCACCATTCTCCACACTCCACGTACCTCCCCTAAACATGCCCCACCTGCCTATAAAGGGTCCTCGTATCACAAGGCAAACATCAGTTGAGACAGAGGACAACCCTGCTTATGCTCTACCATTGACAACCCCACTCATCCCAATTTCCCATTCCACTGCACACGTACACCTACCTATTATACAAAGTCTCAATCCAATCGCCTACCATTCTTCCCCAAAACCCTGCCTCCGTAGATATGCCACAATGCCTTTCGTTCTACGCAAACATACGCAGCTTGGCAATCCAATGCTATGACTCACCTCCCCCCCTTTCATTCTCCCCCTAATACTGTCCCACAAAATCTTTTATTATTTCATGCTCCCTCATAATCGTCCTTCGCCAGGCACCCCATACTGACCTCTCGCACAACTCTATCTATCTCGCACTCCTGCATGTTCCCCAAGATTTTTGCGTATATCTTATATTCTGCACATACATACGACAACGCCTGTAGTTCTGCCCTGTAGTAGGGCCTTCCCCTTTTGGAATCAAATACTACTACTGCAGTACGCTGCTACTCAACCATCCTCCCCTCACTTTTATCACATTCATCAGGTTCACCTATTAATCCTTCAAACACAACTCCAATGCTTCCATAGAATTCACAAGGTAAAAACCTTCTCTACCTGGCGCTTTACCTCTCGCCATATTCTCCAAAGCTCTCATACCTCCCCCTCTTCAATATCCCCCCCAATGCCACCGATTCACTTCCATCTGCCACAAGATATTTCTCTTCCCAAATCTCTCGTTAATTCCTCACCGTTCACTCCTACACTCCGCAAAAAAATATTTTTCCAAAACCAAACTATCCATTAAAAACCATCATACCCTCAGTAGTTCTCAACTCCTGACCCTTCGTATTTACCACTAAGTCTCGTTGTACTACCTTTTCTATCCATTGCCAACTGCGTCTCCGCTGTCCCGTAACACAGGCTGTCGGCCTGTCACCCCAATCGCCTCCTCTACCAACCTTGCCCTCGCCTCATCAAATCTCTCATTGTGCATATCCCTTATCTGCCACTTTAATGCTTCAATTTCCTCCATGGATACCACACCTGTCACAGCACCCCTCTGGATTACTACCCTGCAACCGCCCCCCCTCTAAATATGTTGAAGCCCATATGTATTCCATGCCTATTCTTTCCCTTCGCACATTGTATTGCCTGATCCTGTTTTGCATAAAACCCCATCCCACCACCCAATAAAATCGCTTGCAGTCTTACCCCCACCCCATAAGTCTCCCCAAACTTTTCAAAATCCCTACCTCCACCCTCCTCACCCAGTTGTCGTTACATTCAGCTTCCTGTACCCAAATATCTCCTTAGGCAAAACCGTATAACACTCCCAATTTAAATCAGCATAAACGCACCCTATGATCTGAATAAACGACATTCACCGTCTGCACCCGCGTCCACCCTCCATCCCTTGTCACATACAACCTATCTATCGTTGCAGCATATCCTTTCTATGAAATGTGTGCTCCACTATAACGCAATCCCTCCATCAACTATATCCCTCAATTCCCACATTCTTAATAGATTCCCCTAAACCTGCCAAAATTCACCTGCCCTCTCGGTTCCACATCCTGCCTGCGCACCAACCAGTTCCAGTTCGCACCAATATTGTCACTGAACGGTAATGACCGCAAATATAATATACCAATACGTTATTCACAAATTCATTCTTTACCCTTACATCATTTCAGCCGGCACAACAACACAAATCGAACTGCCATCCATTCACCTCTCCACCACCCATCTATTCTTAACACACGACCCCCCCCTTACCTTCACTACTAAGAACAACAAACGGGCTCGTCTCTCGCTGATCAGGATTCCCACCCCTCCCTTCATTCGCTCCCGAATACATCACAAACCTCTCTGTTACCCATCCACCTACCAATTCCTTTCCCAGCTTGAAATTATGTTCCTGCACAAAAAACAATGTCTATAGCATACGTCCTTAAAAATCCCTTTACTCCACAGACGCTTCTCACTCGCCACAATCCATAATATCACTGACATGCACCGGAAACCTATTAATGTGATTTACCTCTGCCCCCTTTTCACTTTCACTGAACACGACCTTTCAGTGTGTCTGCTTCGTCCACTTTTCTCTCCACTGCCCACTGGTGGCTTTCCCTGATCCAACACCTGACAGGCGTACCTTTAGTGCTCCCACGCACCACTTCAACCACCAACAGCCTTTTTCCCGGTCTCTGTGCCGGGGTCAAAACATCATCGTGGTCGAAATATGTCGCGCCCTCTTACGGTTGACCACTCTCATCCCCATTTTAACTACTGGGATGCCTGCTCCTGTGTATCTCAGCAGACACCTCAATCACTTCCACCACTCTGGTCGAGTCATCTGCCATGTTCGCCAATCTTCCAGTTGCTCATCTTCAATCTGAACAGTACTCCTCACCATAACTCAAGTTATACTCAGCAAACTTGCAAATTCTCAAATGGATTTTTCCTGCTCGTTCACCAGTAGGCTTCCTTACCGGCTCGTCACCAATCTGCACAGTTCTTCCCGTTCTCCAAGGCAGATGCCTCATCTTCCACTAATGTGACAGTGAGGGCTGGTACCCACCAGTGAGGCAGCTCACGCTCTCACTTCCTCACTCCAGGCAAGTGCCACTTCTATGATAAGGTGACTCATCAGCATGACCACCCTGGTTCTGGCTCTTTCACCATCTCACTACCTAGTCCTTTCTCCGCTGCCATCTCCCACATGGGCCGCCATATGGTATTATGCACCAATAACCTACACGTCTTTGCTTGCCCAGGTAGTTACACCATTACCTGTTGTCCTAAATGCTTCAGTATGAAGTAAGACGGGATTGGCATGCCCTCAACGCCATCTTGATGTGAAGTACCATCCGCAAGCACGGCATACGCCCAATCGTCCATTTACAAGCCATAGCCAGGTTTGTACAGGTCCATACTGTTCAAATACATACCGCAGATCGTCTCGTATCCACCTCAAAATTGCACATTTCGGGACTTTCACCCATGTGTAATGCTTAGACACGTCGATTAGTCGAACACGTATCGCTGAATTAACGTCCACGCTCCTAGTCCTGGTACTTGTTCAACCAGCCGTTCATACACTCCGCTGATCTCAGCTTGACGAAAATACGATAGGCACCATTTAGTGCCACACCATACAGTTCTTGATCCGCAACACCATAGGTGTCACGGATAATTTGCGGTAAAAGCACTTGTGCAGACTGAGGCGTTATCGCACCACGCAACAATTCAATGCACACCATGTGCAAACGCCTTCTCACAGACTGCGCCATGTTGTGAAAATATAAGTCTCCTCCAATGACCAGCAGAGGGCAGTAGTCACACGTCTGCACTCTGCTCAGGTCAAGCGGCGAATGACGGTCATGGGGTCAGTGATACATGGGGGACAGTTTGGAATCCCGGGGAGGAGTATGCGGGTAGGTCATGGACGTATTAGGGATTTCCTCGAGGGTAGTAGTAAGGGTGGTATTCTAGGTCTGGATTGGGAGAAAGCTTACGAGTATGTGGATAGGGAATTTTTGATTGAGAGTATGGTGAGAATGGGTTTTGGAGGGAGAGTAGTGGGTTGGGTGAGAACAATGTATGCTGATGCATCGATGAGAGTACAGGTAAATGGTAGGTTGGGTAGTCCTGTAAGCATGGGGAGGGGTTTAAGGCAGGGGTGTCCGCTCTCCCAAATACTCTTTGCATGTATGCAGAATCCTTTCTATGATCTGGTTGATGGTGGGATGGGAAGGATGGGCGAGAGTGGAGGCTTTTGTGGGAATATTGTGGGTTATGTAGATGATACAACTGTTTTACTTAATGAGATAGAAGATTTAAGTACAGTGGGAAGGGTACTTGAGATTTTTGGGAATGCTACTGGGATGAGAGTTAATAAGCAGAAATCACGGTTGCTAGAGGTAGGCGCTTGGGTAGGCGGGACGTTGGGGAAGGAGTTTGGCTGGATAACTGTAGACAGGCTAAAGATTTGTGGGATTTTGTACTTGGCAGATGCACAGGAGAGCAGGAGGGTTAATTCAGAAATGGTAATGGACAGAGTTTTGAGTAGGCTTAGGAGTCTCTGGGCCGGGGACGTAACCTTGCATCAAAGGGTTGTGATGGTGAATACGCTGATTTATAGTAAGGTGTGGGGAGTGGCGGAAATTTATCCCTTACGAAGTCAGGATATTATGGAATTACAAAGGAGAGTAATAAGGTATGTGTGGGGTTTTGGGAGGGCGTGGTTGGGCAAAGATGTGGTAATGACTGCGGTAAGACAGGGAGGGTTGGGATTGATGGCATTAGGATCTAGGGTGAAGGCGCTATATGTGAAGCAGAGGTATATTCGGGCAGGGGGGAAAGGGGTCTTCGAGTGGGGGAGGTGATGGGGGATGTCCGCAAATGGTGGGGGGGCAGGGACTTAGTTGAGTGTGAAGATATGTTGAGGTTTATGTTAAAGGTTCGCAATGTTAAAAAACTCAAGGTAAAACGGTTGGTGGGAGTGAGTCGTCGTCAGGAATCACTGCAGGGGATGGCAGTGTATCCCACATATGATTGGCGAGTGATATGGGTGGAATTTAGTAAATTAAGAATAAAGGCAAGAGTGAGGGAATTAGTATATAGATTTCTTATGGGGACTTTGACATCGAAAGAGGTGCTAAGACAAATGGGTTTTGTGAGAGAGGCGTCATGCGGTTTTTGTGGGGAAGTTGAAGCTGCTTTCCATGTAGTATATTTTTGTTCTGCTTTGGAGATGGTAAGATTGTGGTTGAAGAGGGTTTTCCTTTTATTGGGGGGGGGGTCAGATATCACCCCTTAGGGCTTTAATGTTAGATATGGGAGGGATGCCCAACGAGGTGGGGAGGGCTATCAGATACGTAATAGTTGATTACTTGTATGTCTCTTGGGGGATGAGGGAGGTGGAGGGAAACATTAGGATAAAAGCGTTAGCGGCGTGTTTTTATAGGACAGCGTGTAGGAACAAACAATTATATGGGGGAAGGTGGGTAACTAGTTTTCCTGAGGGATATCGTAGACTTACTGTTGAACGTCTACTCAGCTTGGTGACGGGGTGAGAGGCAAGGGGTTGGTCTCTTCAGTGGTGTCTTTTTGGAGTGATTGGATGCCTGGTGAGGAAGGTTGACTGGTTGCAAGGTGTTTGATGTGGGTAAAGTTTATTTGCAGGGAGCCGTCGGGGGCTCCGGGGTATGTAGACCTTATGAATTTTGTAAAACCACAGAGTTAAAAGTTGTATGTCATGTTCTGTTTTTTCTTTTATTGTTATAAGAACCATTTTATATAGGGGGTTATATTCATATGTATATGTGAGGATATGATTTATATATTCGAATCTGATGATAGCTTTATCCTTGTCATACGTCTTTTTTCTTATTGTATAATTGAAGGGGTATATTATAAACTATGTATGAGACTATATAAGTATTTTATGGGGTTTATATATACCCTTCTATTTGTGTGGAAGGTCATATTATATATTGAATGTTAATCGGTAACATTACTTTGTGTGTGTGTAGGTGTGTTTGTGGGAACCAATGTCTTAGGTACAGTTCTAGTAGTGGATGTAATATATTTCTAGTTTCTTTAGTGACAAGTTATTTGCGTATTATTTCTTGTATAATCCAGTTTGTTCTGTACGAACACGTGTGCACATACACGTATGTGTATATGCATGTGTATATATATACATATATATGTTTATAGGACTTATTCCTACATGTTTTATAATGACTCCGACTGTTTGTTTGGAAGTCGGTATGTTTTTTTTTTTTCCATAAACTGGTTGGGTTTATTTCAGTAGAATTTTGTTATCAATGTGTTAAAATGTATTTTTTTTTTTTTGAGTGTGTACTGACATTGTCTGGCACCGTTGTTTTTTTTTTATTTGCTAATTGTCAGCTTGTGTTTTTTTCTTTTATGGTTTATGTATCTGTTGCTTTTAAATAAAAAAAAAAACTTCGTTAATTTCTGGACAGTTTAAGTTGAGATTCTCTCAAGTGAAGGAAGGGAAGGGAGGAGAGAGAAGAGAAGGGGAAAGGTGCCTTGATATCTTGGAGAATAACAAGACAATCACCTTGTTGCCAAGCCTTCCTTCCTTCCTTCCTTCCTTCCTTCCTTCCTTCCTTCCTTCCTTCCTTCCTTCCTTCCTTCCTTCTGGCAGAGTATCAACCTCACGGTTCAGTCATGTTTCAACCCATTTTCCAAAATATATACACGACACTTTTCATCAGTCCACAGCAAGATTCGAACCTGCACACCCTGCATCAAGATATACAGTACTTTATCCACATAGCCATGAAGGATCTGACTCTATAGATAAATTACTGCGTAGCTGATGCAGAGTATGCAGGTTCGAATCTTGGACCGAGAGATAAAGTTTGTAAATAAACCACGATTCGGGTGGGATTAGAACCCATGGATAGTGAGCTCGCCTGTTTGTGAACTGTTAAAAATATATATGTCGTGCCGAATAAGTAAATCTGGCGATTTTGGCTTAAATAGCAAAGCTCTCCTTCCCGAATAGGGCAAGCGAAAATTTGTGTATGCAATAATTCAGCAAAAATCATTCTTAACTTAACGAAAAAAATGTTTCATTGTGTTTTCTTATTAAATTATTGTAAACTTACATAAAATATATTTAGTTTGATTAGGGTAAATTAAATTGCACTTGTTATAAGGTCAGGTAAGTTTTCTAAGGTTCTTTTGGTACAAAATTATTAATTTTTGCATAAACATAAATGAAAAAGAAATATTTCTTTTACCTATTCGGCACGACATACATTTCCTCATACCCAGGAGTAAGTTTTAAGATACACGAATTTTCACTTGTGTGTGTGGGTGGGGGGGGGAGGGGGGGGGGGGGTTGCAGCATCCCTATTAGGGAGGAGCAATTTTTTGCTGCATCATATTTAGCGGCATATCATCATGATGCTCTTTTTAAACTGATTTCAAAAACATGTACAACGTTCCAGCATTTTCATTTGAGAACTCCTGCCCTCGGACATATATGTTACCGCACTATGTTCACTGGTATATTTTTTTTTTTTTTTTTTTTTTTTTTAATTCGCCGGTATTCTCCCGGCCTGGGTCTTTTCCAAGTATCGTTTAAAGTTCCTTTAATATTGACTTAGAAAACATTTGTATTTCCAGCCTTTCCTGATTAGTTTTATTATAAAAATTTTATCCAAAGTGAAATTTATTATGTCTTAGAGCCAACGTTTATAACTTTTTCTTACGATTATTATTATTATTATAATCAAGGGGGAAGCGCTAAACCCGGAGGATTATACAGCGCCTGGGGGGGGGGGGGAGGAATGTGGAAGGCATTCAGGCTTAATTCAGGGAACTGGAGCAGAGATCCAATTCCCTAAATCAAGAGCCCCTCACCAACATCAAGGAACCTTTCTTGAGGGGACTTCTTTTTTTCTTTTTTCTTACGAGAAATGAAGACTGACCGGACAATGCTGGTTTTTCTGCTAGTATATAACTGTATTTATTTGCTCTTCTTCGCAGTGTTATGTCTAGTCTTTTATTTTTTTTTTCGCCGGGTATTCTCCCGGCCCGGGTCTTTTCCAAGTAGTGGTGACCCGGCCTTAGCTCCCTATCTGGGGAGTGTCTCGAGACTTAAGTCTCCCATGGGAGGAGGTACAAGTACCTCATCTTTGGGACCAAGTGTCCCCAGGCCTAGCCACATTCCCCGCCCTCACGGGGCTCGTAGGGAGAAGCTAGGCCTCTGGTCTGCCATCTACCCCGCCTCAAAGGGGCTCGTGGGGATGGCAGTCTGATGAGCTGCAGATGGTAGCAAGCTCAGGCCTCTCTAGTCTTTTATTATCTTCACTTCTTGTTATCATCATTTTTTTACACATCCTTCCACTTATTGTTAAGTGTGTAAGTTCGTTTCTCAATCTTCCAGAATCATTGTGTTAATTGCAAGGATCAACTCTTAACTTTTAATTAGATTTATTATCCTTAAAAAATACTAATTTACAATAATCATTTGGATATATCGAAGAAAATAAAATTCTCATCTTTGAATAACAAAAATAAGTTTTGTATATAAGACAACGCTTCTGGCAAAGAACTGCATAAATTACACAAACATAACATGAAGATATCAACAATATTTTTTAATCTAATATGAAAATTTATAAAATTAAGATTTTTGGAATGTCATCTGTCTTGAAAGGCACAGGACGGAGCCGTCAGGACGAAAATGGCAGCTGTGGGAAGATATAGAAGCCATTCAGTATACCTTCAAATTATGACTTAATTTATACTTTTTCATGGTGCTAAAGTTTTTTCATTATATAAGATACTTTATAATATTTTATAATACAGAGGAAGCACGTACCTGTTTGTTTACTGCTAGTTGTAACTCCTGATGAAGACTGTCAGTGGATTCTTTTTATATATATTTTTTTAAATAATTTAAAAAACAACTGATTGTAACAAAATGAACAGTTTATCTTCATTGCATCACATTTTTTTAAAACAAAGGTCATTAATTAATTTTAAAACGTTGGCATATCACTGGCAGTCAAATATTTAGAACAAGTCTGTGGAGTGTTGGTAGGTGCTGCTGGAGGCGCTGCTGGAGGCACGGGAGGAATCTTGCATCTTCCTATCATCCCAAGAGTGTCCTGTGTCGCTGAAGTTGTCCATCCGTGAGTGCTGACTGTCTGTAGACATTTCCTTTCTGAAAGATGACAGTTCAGGAGAGTGTCGCAGCCCAGTTGAGAGGAATGACCCTAGACTGCGGCCTTCAGATTCCCTGGAGGACTCTCTCACGTTCTTCTCCCTCAAACCACGCCCTACGTCAACGTCCATTCTCGAATGTCGTTCAATACAAGCTTCCTTGTTGAGTGCCTTATCTTTCGAGTACTTCTTCAGTTTTGGAACAATGATGAGAAGGACACCGTCTGAGGACATGACAGCCATGATGGCCGTCAGGTCGGCGCGGTCAGGGAGAGGGAAGCGTCTGAGGAAGCTTAGTATAGTGAGGGAAGTTCCTGACTGTCTCTGTGCTCGTCCCTCCACCACCAGCTCCTTCCCTTCCACTACCTTCGCTGTCACCTCCCCTCCCAGGAAATCATACACATCAAGAAGTATCTGAAAATAACAGTAGATATGATTACTGTCAAAGACAAATACTTGAAATATTGTGACTAACTTAATACCAAAATCAGTATTCAAATATTTAACTGATTATTTTTTTTTTCAAAAATTTTTTTGACGTAGTACCAGACATATGCGTAAATAATCTTAGTAACTAGTGACATCAGCACAGTGGACCCCTACCATCTGAGTGTAGCGATCATCGTCGACGTGCACTGCCTGGTTCTCCAGTTTGAGATCCCTGAGACGCAAATTTCGATATGCAGAGATACCATCGTCGTCCGGGGAGAATTCTTCGTGGGACTTCCTCAGCACATCTTTCACAGCAGTCTTGAAGTTCGGGCGGGACTCTAGGAAGAAAGAGTCGTCGAAGAAGAGCCCTCTTGTCTTTATGTTAAGGAGTCTGTTTTTGTAGGCTGGGTCTACATCCAAGTATTCCCTTATTTTCGTGCTAGATCCTGCTTCCATGTCATCGTCACTTTCACTCTTGGCACGACTCTCCTTTTGCAGTCGTCGGTGGACGGTGTCGGTGTCACTCTCCTCGAGGAAGGTGCAGTTCTTCTCAGCTGCTTCTTTGTGAGTGTCAGCGTCGTCAAAGTTAATCCTACTTTCCTGGGAAGCACCAGACTTGTGTTGTGCGTTCTCTGCTCTTTCTTCCCGAGTATCCACAGTTATCTCGCTCGCTTTTTCAAATTGGGCTTGTGATGTAAGTTGCACTGGGATCGCCTGAAAAGTAAATAAATTTCTTCGGTAAGTATTTAAAACCACAAAATAATGCAAAAAGGACCAGGTTTGTTTCTTCTCTGATCATAGGTAAGTTGAGATGAATTTCTGATCCAACTGAATATAAGAATAAAAATAATTTTATTATTATAACATTTTTGACATTATTAAGGAGTAAAACAAAGTAATAGAGGAGGCAGGTGGAAATAAATGGTATAAAATACCGACACAATGGAAATATAAACACACATGCAGTATAATGTGATCCTTTATTGACAACGTTTCAAGTCAAACTGATCTACCTGGGTGGAAGGTACGCGAGTATTTATAGTCAGGTTCAGAATGCTGGGTCAGTTGAAGAATGCTGCATCTGATGATCTCTATAACCCCACTCGGTAGATCATCAGATGCAGCATTCTCCACCTGACCCAGCATTCTGAACCTGACTATAAATACTCGTGTACCTTCCATCCAGGTAGATCTGTTTGTGACTTAAAAAGCCAACTGTGTGGGCGAAACGTTGTCAATAAAGGATCACATTATACTGCATATTTGTTTATATTTCCAGAGGAGGCAGGTCATGACGTACCGACGACTGTGATGAGGTTGACACAGTGCTACATGACTCCCTCGAGTGATCAGTGTATCTGTCAGCTGATGACTGTGTGTTGGTCACCCCGGCGTCCAGCCTCACCACCTGCTCTGTTGAGTCTCTCACGCTCTCACTTTGCTTCACACCATCGTCCTTAAAGTGGAGCTTTGAGCTCTAAAAAAGAAATAATATTTTAAAGTGTGATCAGTAAATTAGAGCTAGTCTTTCCTGCCTTGGAGCAAACCTAATTTCCTATGTATATACACAGATAATAACCTCTCAGTTTCTAAGTATAAAAAAAAAAATCTTATTTCAAGTATAACACACAAGGTTTAGTTACGCAAGCTGCTTCACGTTTAGTGCAAAACCTAGTTTGTAATTTATTGTGCTGAACTTCCGCAGTGTACTGTTTACAATAAATCGCAAGATTTTCATCTCACTGTTTTTGGTGCGGTGATGGTGAGGACACCGTCTGAAGACATGACGGAAGTCACAGACTCGACCACTACTTCGCTTGGAAGAACGAAACGACGTAGGAAATGTTTAAGAGACTTAGCGCCGCCAGCCTCCTGCTGCACACGTCCCTCCACCACTAACTCCCTGGCGTCTTCAACCTTCACGCTGATCTCTCCACCCTTCATGAAGTCCTGCACATCAGCAACAACCTGAGAGAACAAAGAATATAAGTTAAGTGAGTAATATGTTGATTTTTTTTTTCATCTCTCTTACTTATGCTACGTTTTCGGTTGTACTAAATAGTCTTAGACAAGAACACTGTATACAGCTGTAGCTTACAAAAAGGTATTGCCGACCAGAGTCTGACAGCTAAGTTTAAATACAAAAATGTGTTAAAATTTAGTTGAAGAGATGGTTTAACAGAGGGGAATGGGAACCATTTGTACGTATTGTATTTAGACAGCTCAAACCTGCAGTTGGCCCTCCAGTGTTGTCTTGATGACCTGGTCAGTAATTGAACATGATTAACTCTCATTCTTAAGTACTGTATAAGCCCTGCGGGCTTAGCATTTCCATATTAATGTAATAATTATAATTACCTTATAATTAGATTCGTCTTCGGAGGACCTGACAGCTTGGTTCTCGTCCTTCAGGTCACGAGTTCTTAACTTCCTGTAGCAGGTTAAGTCGTCACAAGTAGAGCAGTCTCCCCACTTGATCACCACGTCCCTCACAGCATCCTGGTAGTCCTTCCAAGTGTCCTCAAAGAAAGTGTCGTTAAAGAAGACTCCTCTAGTCTTGATTGGAATGGCTATTCCCTTGCTGGACTCGCTGGCAAACACCCTTTCGTCAGTCACCTTTTCTTCCTGTTTCTTGACATCTTCGCCAGTCTTCTGGTCAACAGTTTGTGTTCCAATTAAATCCGATGCTGAATTTCTCGACGTTGCTTGAGAATAAGTAAATTGTTCACTCGATTCTTGAGATCCTTTCATTTGTGAAATACTTTCATCAACTGCAGTCGAGGTGTCAGTCTTCACTGGAGTTGGTTTATCTTCTTCATGTTGAACTGATTCAGTAATGTTTGTTCTAAGTTCATTCTTAAGACATCCTTCCTCGTGAATTTCTGACAGCTTCTCGGCAGAAGCAGAATTGCCAGAAGCTGTCTGAGAGGTTGAGGTGGACGTGTGAGTCTCTGTTACACTGGTCTTCGTTCCTGTTAACTTAATTGGAATCGTCGAACCTTCCTCTTGTGGTTGGTTTACCTGTAATAAAACAAATTCGGCGCGTTAGTAATCTTTGAAAATTGTTTCTTACGATAATTTAAGCACTGCATTTTTTGTGCTTCTGGAAAAGTACTTACAGTTTTAGGAGCCGTAATAGTGAGGATACCATCGAGTGACATGGCGGAGGTGATAGCGTCAATGTTGGTGGAGTCTGGGAGGGAGAAGCGACGTTTGAATGTATTGGAGGAGGCAGACAATTCTCTAGCCTTGGTGGGGTCTATGCGACCCTCCACCACCAGTTCCCTGTCTCCCACCACCTTCACCTTCACTTCCCCGTCCATGAAGTCGTGAACGTCCATCACAATCTGCAACATTTTTACTATGATATAAATTCCCTAAGTTTGAAATTTTTTTATTATACAAATTCGTACCAAGTGCTTAAATCTTCACGTTAGGTTCAAAGTTAAACCTAGTTGTTATATATTTATATTGCTTAACACTGAAAACTACGATCGATAAATCATTCTTGGCATTGAAGTAAGCAAAAACGATCTCAATAAGCAAACCTTGTGGCAAGTGTTGTCGGAGGTGACGGTGACGGCTTGGTTGTCCTCATTCATGTCGTGGGATCGTAGTCTCCTGTAGCGTTTGAGGTTACTAGAGAGATGCAGATCTGTGTCATCCCACGCATCCTTCAGAAAGTCATCCGTGTCCCATTTTCTTAGCACCTCGTTCACGGCGTTCTTGAAATCTGACCGAGTGTCTTCAAAGAATGAATCGTCAAAGAAATGCCCCCTTCGTTTGATGGGTACAAAATCACGCAAAGAGAAAGGAATGTCAGGGAATTCTGTAGAAGTTGACGATGTTGAAGTCTGAGTCTTAGTCTCCGTGTTTCCCTGCTTCCCAGCCCAGTGTTCTCTCTGCTCGCTGTCACTCTTCTGTTCTGTGGTGGAGTTCCTGTAACCACTACTAGACTGTTTTTTAGCACCATTTTCAGCAGATGTTTTGGAATCAGCTTTTGAATCAGTAAAACCATCAACAGTTTGTGAACTTGTCTGAGTCGAGTTAACTTGGATAGGAACCTGTTGTGATTTAGCAGTCTTCGCGCTTTTCTTGGCCAGAGTCTGTCACCTTGGTGCTGGTGGTGCCTGACCCTGCCTGAGAAGTCGAGCTGGATGTCCGGGTCTCTGTCACATTGGTCTTTGCTCCAGTGACTCTGATTGGAATTGTGGAATCTTCTTTTGTTTGATGTGTCTGCCAAAAAATGAAAGAAAATGTTCAAGTGGATACCACTGCACATTTTTTAATTTACATTTTCTCCATTAAATTCCAATCATTTTTTTACAGTGAATCAAAATATAAATAATTTTGACACACTTGTTATCTCTATTTCAATATATCTTTCACTACAGTGTTTTAATTAAAGATTAAAGCTTAAAATATCACTCGTTTTCTTGTCTCTTTGAGAGATATATTGAGTTGTAATTTACGTGAAAAATGTGAACAATTATTGAATTAAATTAGTAAATCCTATAATTAATAATTATGTCCTCTTTAAAGCCTGAAAGGTTTCAAGAGGATGACTGCGAGGCTTGTTTGTTGTTTAATATGTTTATTATGGACCCCATACCCATCCTGTGGGCGGTAGTCAAAAGATTACAGAGGTACATAATGGGTCCAGGGACTGAACCCCAAAGTTTTGATAGCTGAGCAAGTTACAGAAGTAATGAACTCACAATTACTAAGTTAATGAACTCACAATTTACAAAGGTAATGAACTCACAATTTACAAAGGTAATGAACTCCAGGTAGGTCTGGTCACAATCATGACAAGTTACAAAGGTATTTACAGATTACAGAGGTACGTAATGGGTCCAGGGACTGGGCCCCAAAGTTTTGATAGCTGAACTAGGTACAAAGGTATTGAACTCACAAGTTACAAAAGTAATGAATCCTGTAAGAATGGTTACTTACGTTTATGACTGCGAGGCGTCATTTGTATGTTGGTGATGCTGTGAGTTATCTTACCATTAAGAGGTAGGTGTGGTGATGCTGTGAGTTATCTTACCATTAAGAGGTAGGTATGAAGGGGGAGGGTGCCTTGATGATGTTGAAGGGATCTTGAGCCTTTTTACTGATGAATTCAGTTAGTGCACTAATTATGTGATATGAACGCGATAGTTTATGGCTGAACATTGGTTACTTACAGTTTTTGGAGCTGTAATAGTGAGGATACCATCGAGGGACATGACGGAGGTGATAGCATCAATGTTGATGGAGTCTGGGAGGGAGAAGCGACGTTTGAATGTGTTGGAGGAGGCAGACAGTTCTCTAGCCTTGGGGTCTATGCGACCCTCCACCACCAGTTCCCTGTCCCCCACCACCTTCACCTTCACTTCCCCGTCCATGAAGTCATGAACGTCCATCACAATCTGTAACATTTATAATTTTGCAAATATGAAAACAAGCATTGAAAGGGATCGTTGCATTAATTTATATCGAAAAACAAACACACTGCATCGAGACATCTTGGGCAGAAACTCCGCTGAGCTCCAGCCCAAGAGCTGCTGGGTATATTTATACACCGGAGGGAGATTAACATGGACCACCACTGTGACCATAAATGCAATTTTTTTACAGATGAATCTCCCGCCAGCGTGACCGTGACGAACTCTAGCTCAAGAACTGCTGTTATTACTGGATATAAAGCTGAACGAAGCTTAACTGTGAACCCGAAATATGCAATATTCATATCTTTTCATTTTTGTTGTCCTCTTGTGGGTTTATTTGTACTATAATTTTATATGTATAATAATTCGTCCTCGATGAATTGGTTGTCTTAACATTGATTAATAACACACCCCATCTACTCTTATATCTACTCTTATAATGGATAAGACATGGAAGCTGACCTTATGGCAGGTGTTATCGGAGGTGACGGTGGCCGCCTGGTTGTCTTCCTTCAGGTTATGGGATCGCAACTTCCTATAGCGGCTGAGATTATTGGAGAAACGCATGTCAGCGTCATCCCACGTCTCTTTCAGGAGGTCTTCCTCCCCCCACTTCTTCAGAGCGTCTGCGATTGCAGAATCAAACTGGTCACGTGCGTGGTCAAATGAGGAGTCCTTAAAGAAGCGGCCCTTTCGGCTGATGGGTAAGTAGAAGTCCCAGAGGTCATCTGCTGAGCTCCTGCCCCGAGACCCGTTGTCATTACTGCTTGTGGAACTGAAGCTTTTGCTGGTGTGTGAGCTTTGCTTGTGAATGGATGACATCTTTATATCTTATTATCAAGGGAACTTCTGTTTCTATTTTCTTATATCACTCGTTTAGCACCAAGTGTGTGTGTGTGTAGCTGTATACTGGGTGATGAGGGCGTGGCCGGAGGCTTTATACCAGCTGTACGCCCACCCACGACACGCCCACCCCTCTGACGTATTTGAGACGTCGTGCAAGTATTTTCGGAGATTTGGCCGTCACCAAGACGCTGATCCAAGAAGTTACTCACACATTCTTTCGTGCGGTGTAAACACCTCCATCTACCTGGTGTTACGTAAGTGTTATGAAGGTGACGTTTATACGGGAACGTTCCATCATGGTCCATTACTGCTAGTCACACACTGTACTCTCGCCTCTTATTTATAACTGTGTTCTCTATGACCTTATTCTCAGTTATTCCATATATGGTCTTTCTCTCTCTCTACATTATATATATATATATATATATATATATATATATATATATATATATATATATAATATATATATATATATATATATATATTTTATGCAAAACAATCACTGTGAAAGAATAGGAATTCCAAGCGCTTTCGTGACTATCACAATTATCAAGGAACAATGTTCCTTGATAATGTGAGTAGTCACGAGAGCGCTTGGAACTTTTCTATTCTTTCACAGTGGTTGTTTTGCATATTCTGAAATCACCTGTTTACTGTGATCTTATTATTATTATTATTATATTATTATTATATTATATATATATATATATATATATATATATATATATATATATATATATATATATATATATATAAATAGCACGTAATGAAAGTAGTTCGTTAGATTATGTATTGGTGGGTAAAAGGTTGATGGGTAAGCTTCAGGATGTACATATGTATAGAGGGACAATTGACATATCGAATCATTAAATAGTTGTAGCTACAGTTAGAGTAAGAGGTAGATGGGACAAAACGAGGAAATTACGGTAAGATATAAGCAACTATTGGCAGAAAGGTGGGCTAGTGCAAGTATGAGTAGTGGGGGGAGGAGGTTGAAGAGGGTTGGGATAGTTTTAAAATGCAGTATTAGAATGTGGGGCAGAAGTTTGTGGTTATAGGAGGGTGGGTGCAGGAGGAAAGAGGAGTGATTGGTGGAATGATGAAGTAAAGGTGTGATAAAAGAGAAAAAGTTAGCTTATGAGAGGTTTTTACAAAGCAGAAGTGCTACAAGAAGATCAGAGTAAATGAAGAGTAAAAGAAAGGTGAAGAGAGTGCAAAAGGAGAGCGGATGATAGAGTGGGAGAGTCAAGAGATTTTGGTGAAAATAAGAAAAAAATTTGGAGTGAGATAAACAAGTTAAGAAAGCCTAGGGAACGAATGGATTTGTCATTTAAAAACAGAGAATGGGAGTTAGTAGATGGGCAGATGGAGGTATTGGGTAGATGGCGAGAATATTTTGAGGAACTTTTAAATGTCGACGAAGAAAGGGAAGCGGTAATTTCATGCACTGGCCAGGGAGGTATACCATCTTTTAGAAGTGAAGAAGATCAGGATGTGAGTGTGGTGGAGGTACGTGAGGCATTACGTAGAATGAAAGGGGGTAAAGCAGCTGGAACTGACGGGATCATGACAGAAATGTTAAAAGCAGGGGGGAATATAGTGTTGGAGTGGTTGGTATTTTTGTTTAATAAATGTATGAAAGAGGGGAAGGTACCTAGGGACTGGCAGAGAGCATGTATAATTCCTTTATATAAAGGGAAGGGGGACAAAACAGAGTGTAAAAAATATAGAGTATACCAGAAAAGTGTATGGTAGGGTTATTATTGAAAGAATTAGAGACATGACAGAATGTAAGATTGCAGATGAGCAGGGAGGCTTTAGATTGGGTAGGGGATGTGTAGATCAAGTGTTTACATTGAAGCATATATCTGAACAGTATTTAAATAAAGGTAGGGACGTTTTCATTGCATTTACGGATTTAGAAAAGGCATATGATAGAGTGAATAGGGGAGCAATGTGGCAGATGTTGCAAGTATATGGAATAGGTGGTAAGTTACTAAATGCTGTCAAGACTTTTCATGAGGATAGTGAGGCTTAGGTTAGGGTGTGTAGAGGAGAGGGAGAATACTTCCCGGTAAAAGTAGGTCTTAGACAGGGATGTGTATTGTCACCATGGTTGTTTAATATATTTATAGATGGGGTTGTAAAAGAAGTAAATGCTAGGGTGTTCGGGAGAGGGGTGGGATTAAATTATGGGAAATCAAATACAAAATGGGAATTGACACAGTTACTTTTTGCTGATGATACTGTGCTTATGGAGATCATAAAGAAAAATTGCAAAGGTTAGTGGACGAGTTTGGGAGTGTGTGTAAAGGTAGAAAGTCGAAAGTGAACATAGATAAGAGTAAGGTGATGAGGGTATCAAATTATTTAGATAAAGAAAAATTGGATATCACATTGAAGAAAGGAAGTATAGAAGAAGTGAATGTTTTCAGATATTTGGGAGATGACTTGTCAGCGGATGGGTTTATGAAGGATGAGGTAAACCATAGAATTGATGAAGGAAAAAAGGTGAGTGGTGCATTGAGATATATGTGGAGACAATAAACGTTATCTATGGAGGCAAAGAAGGGAATGTATGAAAGTATAGTGGTACCAACACACATATATGGGTGTGAAGCTTGGGTTGTAAATGCTGCAGCGAGGAGGCGGCTGGAGGCAGTGGAGATGTCCTGTCTATAATATTATGCAGAAAATTCGGAGTGTGGAAATTAGGAGGTGTGGAGTTAATAAAAGTATTAGTCAGAGGGCTGAAGAGGGGCTGTTTAAGTGGTTTGGTCATTTAGAGAGAATGGATCAAAGTAGAATGACTTGGAGAGCGTATAAATCTGTAGGGGAAGGAAGGGGGGGTAGGGGTCGAGCTCATAAAGGTTGGAGGGAGGTATTAAAAGAGGTTTTGTGGGCGAGGGGCTTGGACTTCCACCAAGCGTGTGTGATCGTGTTAGGAGTGAATGGAGACGAATGGTTTTTGGGACCTGACGAGCTGTTGGAGTGTGAGATAAAGACATATATCTTTTCTTACATGATATGGTACAAAATATTTAAAAGATACATTGCTGGTATAAAGGCTGCATATACAGTACATGAGGTGTGAGAGATACATGTCTAGTACATATTGCTACGTGTTTATCACAGATTATAATGTGTAAATCTCATCCAGCTCCTCAGAGCTGAGGCATGTGCCCAGGATCCAGCAGGCATTACCCCTCTTAACAGCAGAGCTGAGTAACTGGAACAGAAAACTAGCTGCCCTGGGATCCCTAGTTACCCTGATGAGTCTTATGCCTAACTCCTTAAGGAACTTAAATGCACTCTTTTTCCCATGGGGCAAGGGTCTCTGAGCCTATGGGAACAAACGTATAATGATGGGCAAGTTCACCATGTTTTCTAGACTTTTGGAACTCCCTGAAGCTGGCAGCTGCCCCTTCTTCCTCCCTGGTGTATTTTGGAGATAGGTATCAGCCAGTGTAGATGCACATGTGTAGTCCTGCACCATCTGCTTACCGTCTGTCCAGGCTTGAAGGGTGATACCATCTGGACACTTTTGGCTACCATCAGATCTGTATATCTGGGGTGGCTTCCATATTGCTGGGCATCCGGCTGTTGTGAGGCTCCTCTTAATAATGTTATTAACTTCCTCATGTCTTGCAATCTTTCCCTCGGTTCTACGGCACACAAGACCATGGTACCCAAATCGGTCTGCTGCTTCACTGCTACAAATACACCTGTGTTTGGCGAGAATAGGGGCGGCAAATCGAAGGGCAACATCAATGTGGATAGTCTGTGAGTCGAGTCGTGTGCCAAAGCTGGAGTTGGGAACAGCCAACAGAAAGTCGCCTGCACGAGGAGCTCTCACTGCCAGGAGGCAGGCTCTGTCTTTCCCCGACACTGAACCGTTGTAGAGGCTATATTCTCCACTACTGGGCCATCCCTGTGTGACTGTAGTTGTTGAGGGTGAAGGTCGAGTTTCAGAGCCCGTTATTATTTGTATATATATATATATATATATATATATATATATATATATATATATATATATATATATATATATATATATATATATAATATATACTATAATATATATATAATACACACACACACACACACACACACACACACACACACACACACACACACACACACACACACGAGATCCACCTCAAGATACACAGGTGGGGACCCATAGCCTCGAAGAAGTTAATAAGATGGGCTTAACAAAATATTGATATGGCTCCTTGAAACTTTTGAATATTCTTCTCTTACCATTCCATTGTTAATAAATCTTTTAACACATCAGCTCTCTCCCACCTAGGTAGAGTATACCTGGAGATCGTTTCGGGGGTCAACGCCCCCGCGGTCCTGATCCACCACGAGGACTGTGACCAGTCCTCGTGGTGGATCAGGACCTGATCAACCAGGCTGTTGCTGCTGGCCGTACGTAAACCGACGTACGAACCACAGCCCGGCTGGTCAGGTACTGACTTAAGGTGCCTGTCCAGTGCCTGCATGAAGACAGCCAGGGGTCTATTGGTAATCCCCCTTATATATGCTGGGAGGCATTTGAACAGTCTTGGGTCCCTAACACTTATTGTGTTGTCTCTTATCGTGCTAGTGGCAGCATCGTCTGCCGAGTCTTTTGCTTCCATAGGCAGTGATTTTCGTGTGCAAATTTGGTACTAATCCCTCTAGGATTTTCCAAGTATATATAATCATGTATCTCTCCCGCCTGTGTCCCAGGGAATAAAAGTCGAGAAACTTCAACCGTACTCAGTAATTGAGGTGTTTTATCTCCGTTATGCGCGCCGTGAAGGTTCTCTGTACATTTTCTAGGTCAGCAATTTCACCTGCCTTGAAAGGTGCTGTTAGTGTGCAGCAATATTCCAGCCTAGATAGAACAAGTGACCTGAAGAGTGTCATCATGGGCTTGGCCTCCCTAGTTTTGAAGGTTCTCATTATCCATCCTGTCATTTTCTAGCAGATGAGGTAGATACATTGTCGTGGTTTTTGAAAGTGAGATCCTCTAACATTGTCACTCCTAGGTCCTTTACATTAGTATTTCGCTCTACTGTGTAGTTGAAATTTGTTTTATATATGAATACTATTATTATACAACAGCAACGACAACAGCATTATCAGGTAAGTCAGTAGAAGGCGCCGGTCAACTGACTGAAAGCTCCACTGTCTGGGTCAAGTCCAGCATCACCACAAATTTTAATATTTCTCCTGCTAAACGGAACACCATAGCACTAATGACAGTCATCATCAGCATCAGCATCATCACAATTATAATAATAATAATAGCCGTGACATATGGTTAACCTTGAGAGAGTGGTAGCAGGTGAGGTTTTTGACAGGGTGTATACTGTGCCCGGCCTGCCTACCACCCGCGGTGTATGAATCACTCTATATTTCTGGCAATGGTGATCAACAGCTGGGCCAGCACCAGCCTCGCCAGCTGCACAATATAATGGTGACACTACTAACTACAATAAAATGCTCTTTGACTAACACGTCCCGGGAAATATCTTCCTCATTGGCCATTTATAAATTTAATGTTAAACTATTCTTAATTTTTTTTAACTATAGACAATTTGTACAATATTTCATTATTTATTATTTATAAATTATAGCAGAATTACTAAAACAATTATTAGAGTGAGAAGTTTGTTCCAAGTCTGATCGACTCCACGAAGGTTACTGAGGCCGCAATCCAAGTTTTGCGTGTACTCGCCTATTTGTACTCATAAATATGTGGTTACAAGTGTTGATTCTCAGATCCTAACCCTCACTTTACTTGCCACTTAGATTAACTTCGTGGGCACTATCGTACCTGCTCTTCAAACTATGTATGGAGCCTGCCTCTACCACTTCCTCGCCAAGATCATTTCACTTTTCGATCACTCTGAGACTGAAGAAATACTTCCCAGCAGCCCTGTAGTTCATCTGTGTCTTTAATTTCCAGTGGCGTCCCCGAGTTTCCGTTTCTCTCGTCTCTCGTCTCAAACAGCCTATCCCTGTATGCTATATTAACTCGAATACCTGAGTATTTTGTATGTTGTTATCATGTCTTTCCCGGTTCTTGTGTCCTTCAATGTCGTTAGATTTAATTTTGTTAGCTCCTCCTTGTAGCCCATGTCCCTTAGCTCAGGAACAAGCCTTATTGCATGCTTTTTCACTTTCTCCGGTTTCTTAATTAACATGCTTTTTTCAGGTGCGGGTTCCATACTGGTGCTGCATACTCCAAGACGGGCCTATCCTATGTTGAATAGAGTGCACGAATTACTTTCTGTTGAAATTCCTGAAGGCTACTCTTAGATTTGCCAGACGATCATCGGTTGCAGAGATTATTCGGCTGATGCGAGCCTCTGGCGTTATAATGGGCACTATTTTCATCCCCAGTTTTCTCTGTGACTGAAGTCTGCAGCCTCTGTCCCTCTAGTCTATACCCCGTTTCCGATCTTCTTGCTATTTCTCTAATCTGCATGACCTTGTATTTACTGGGATTGAACTCAAGCAACCAATTATCTAACCACTCCTGCAATTTGTCCAGATTCCTTTGATGCATTTTCTTGCCCACATCTGTTTTTACTTTCCTCATCAATTTTAAATCGTCAACAAACAGGAATATATATGAATCAGTCCCAACCGGAATATCATTTCATAAACCAGAAACAGCACTGATGATAATACCGATCCTTGCGGAACCCCGCTAGTTACTCTTTCCTATTGTAACGTCTCTTTCCTGACAGTTACTCTTTGCTTCCTTTCCCTAAGATATTCTTTGATCCACCGGAGCACATACCCTGTTATTCCCTCCCATCTATCTTGTGGGGTACAATACCAAACGTGATATTGCAATACATCCAACCCTTTATCTTGTCGCACATATGTTTCTCTGTTATAAATCTCCAACAAGTTAGTAAGAACATTTTCTATACCTGAACCCCATGCTGGTTATTATTTATGCAGCCACCTCTCTCCAAGTGTTGTATCATTTTTTCCCTGATAAGTTTCTCCATTACCTGGCAAGGATGTCTGCCAGAGAAACTGACCTCTTGTTTAACACCTGCTGTCCGTCTCCCTCCTTAATTACTGGGACTACGTTAGCTGTTTTCCAAATCTCTGATAACTGTACCGTATCCATTTACTTGTAAATGGATATCCATTTACATATCCATTTACTTGTAAATGGATATGTAAATCATAGCTAGTGGTTTAGACAATGTTTCTGCACCCTTTCGCGCATTCCATGGTGACACGTTGTCAGGTTACGTTGCCTTTGATGTATCCAGGTCCATCAAAAATTTCACTGTTGAGTGGATGGTATACAAATAAAGGTTTTTCGTCTACAAATCGTATTCTGTTACCTAAGTCTTTGAAGCCAACACTATGGAGGGTAGCTTTAAAAATAGGTTAGATAAATACAGTATTTATTTACTACCACTCATCTACTGGCCCTAGCATGGACTAATAGATAATAATATAATAAGATCGTTATTTCTACAAGTACATGTATAAGGTATACAGTCCTAGCTGACATCAATAACATACTACTATATAGAAAGCTGCTTGTTACGCAGAGCATTTCGGGCAAATTTGGTCAGTTTTGTCCCAGGATGCGACCCACACCAGTCGACTAACGTCCAGGTACCCATTTTACTGATGGGGAACATAGACAACCGGTGTAAAGAAACACGCCCAATGTTTTTGCCTTCGCTGGGAGTCGAACCCGAACACTCGCTGTGTGAAGCGAGAGCTTTAGCCACCAGGCCACTTGTCAAACTGGTTATCTTCACTGTCGAAATGTTTCGGCAATCAGTGGCTTCATCAGTCAAATACAGAGAAGAAAAGAAGAGGAATTTGAGGTAATTAGTCTCTCAACCTGGAGATGTGTTCAGTCCATCATTATTATCAGACCAACCTAATCATGAAACCATCATTATTATCAGGCCATCATAATCATCAGTCCATCATTATATTCAATCCATTATCATCAGACCATCATTATCATCAGATTATAGGCTTGAGGATAGTGACACAATATACTGGCTATTAGAAGACATTTCCTCCACCAGGGAGTTAGTTGATACAACGCTGTATCCCAGCTGGACGACACAGTATATAGTTGATACAGCACTGTACCCAGCTGGACGACACAGACTAATAAAATAGCCTAACCACACGTGTCAGCATCATCATGCTGACCGGCCCCAGCGCTCCCCTGCCATGATGACTGTGTGAGAGATTATCCTAGAGTAAATCTACGCAATGTATTATTACCGTTTTTCTTAAATTATTGTTTCCATGACAACCATAGCTGAATAATAGTTCGCTAAACCGTAAGTAGAAAACCCCAGTAAAGCTTAAATAATCTTTATCTATCAGTATTAATGTGTGTTAAACAAAATAAAAGTGATATATTGTTTATATTGTTTTAATAAGAAAATATATACAATATATTGATCCTTTGTAAAGCTCCAAATTTAAGTTTGTCCAGTTTCTAAAATTTTCTTATAACATTAAGGAGTTTATCTGTTTGCCAAAAAAAAAATAATTCTTAACATTACAGAAATATTTGGTGCTCCGCCTGGACACATAATTCAAGGATCCTGAACACATAACGTAGTCATCCGTCTTGCTCCCTGGGAGAAACTTCTTTCATATTTCACTTTCTGTTCTGTAACTGGTTTTCAAGATAAATATATAAGGAACAAAGTAATCCAGCGCTATTCTTAACACATATGATTGATTGTCAGGATCTATTACTCAGAACGAATTGTTAATCATAGCTGTCAAAAAAATATTGAAAAAAGTTATTTATATGCTTCACATAATCGTGAAAATATGTCTTACATATATGACGTATCTTAGTATTAAAATAGTATCTGTTAGTGTTGCATATTGCAGCTTGTTGCAGGATACCAGTTGATTCCAGCAGTAGTTCTCTGCTGTCATCGTAGTAGAGGTAACATGGCCAGGTAAATGTGATGGTGCAGTTGGTAGCAGAAAGTTGCATGCGAGAGTGTTACAAGTAATCATCTATTGCATCTGACAATATACTGCAATGAACATCATGTTGCAAGTGACGCCACTCAATATTCTATTCTCTGGGTAAGGCCAAAAGTTTGTATTTTAGTACATCTAACATTATATAAGTTAATATATGCAAATATAATATATAATTATACTGATGAAAGACTCAATTGTTTAGCCAAAGTTGTTGTTTTATAGCACACTTCATAGCGAGAAAGTATATACAGTATATATAAAAAAAAGATCTACTGTCGTCTGTGTATATGCCAAAATGCCAAATGAATGATTTTCATATAGCCTACTTTCACGCTCTCAATGATCCAGTATGCGAGTGTTTGTATAAACTTTATACATGTTTCGGGCAATGCTCGGTACATTGTCAGAGTTAAGCCATCTTGAGGAACTGAGCGATAATTCTTGATAATTTAACTTCCGTCAAACTTGTTCTCAGTTAAGCTTCCATCTTTCCAGAAGGACGTACTGGCTAAAGAAGTTGTGGGAAACTAGTGTGACGCTGGCAGCCACCGCACTCTTGGTGTACCAAGTAAGCTTCAGCTTGACAGTATACCTGGACAAGCCAACAATCTTTATGTTGTCTCTGGAACCAATCCCTGTCTACCGCCTCCCACAACTGTCCATCTGCCCATATCCACCTTTCGAGCCTAGAGCGCTGAACTCCTTGGGTCTCAACCAATCAACTCAATACCTCCAATATATAGAAAATTATATGACACTTCTCGGCATCCCTAATGAGGTAACGGCGGGTGAGCTATGGCAGAGAGCAAGCTGGAACTTGGGTCAGGTCATTAAAACAACGTTCTTGGACGAAGAAACGATTAATTACAAGCCCTCTGAGACACTCTCATCTCTATGGCGTAGGTCCTATTCCCCACTTGGCCCCTGTTTGACCCTCAACGCCCCTGAAGGTATGAGAGAAGCCCTAATCATACTTCATGGTGCGCCACCAGTAAAACCTTGTATGATTCCCAATGAAAACGGGACGCTAGAAAAATACAACAGGTTTCCCCCACAGTGTGAGCGTATCTCGGTCATGTGTAACTCCTCATGTGGACTTGAGGACGCCGTATACTATAGACGACTGCGATTTGATAAAATGAATATCTACTTCCACGAGACTCCAGTATACGCTGATCATGAGCCAATGACAGAAGAGGATACATGGAAATATTCTGACCAGCTGTTTGATGGCAATTATATTTTGATGGAAATATCAAAGTCTGATAGCTTGGGATCTTATCCACAGCTAATTGACTCTTCATTTATCAAGGGAGCATGTGAATCCAGTAACTCTTACAGCCATTCTCAGTGTTTCCGCCAGCTTCACATCCACAAAACACTACACGAGTTGGGCTGCTATCCTCTTTTTTCATCACTCTTAGGAAAATCCTCAAAGTATGTTTGCAGCTCACCACACATCCTGGAGAAGATGTTTTGGACAGAATACATGAATAAAGTTTCCTGTCCTCAAAGGTGTAAGAGACAAAGGTGGACCCATGACATTACTACAGCTTCTTATCACGACTTCACCATCATCCTTAAAGCGATGTCGACAGACGTGAGACGTGAGACAGAATTGGAGACTTACCCTTTGTCTAAGTTCTTCTCTGATATGGGCGGAAGTCTAGGTCTCTTCCTTGGTTTGTCTGTCTTAAGTTTTCTTGAATTCTTAATAACAGTAACAAAGCATTTATGGGGGTTAAAAATAAAAGTTATTAATCAAACAAAGAAGCGTCATATTGAAGCTTTAACAAAGTACACAATTCTGGTGGGGCTTTCCATACTGACGAGTGTTCACTGCCTGGAGGCTCTACGCATGTATCTGACTCAGCCAAGATTGACGGCAGTGTCGATAAAATTCTCGTCGTCTTGGGAAGAGGACGACATCATCACACTGGTTTCCCGACGTCTGGCCACTCGTGCTTTAGACTGCCGACCTGAGGAGACACGTCACGAAGAATGTATGATGTGGTGTTTGCTGGAGGGTGCAGTTAGTGGAGTGGCGCCCTTTTTAAATCTCGAAGGTTTACCTGCCTGCCAGCAAGTTACTTTTTCTCTACCGTCTTATGTTTACTTGGTGCCTCCCGAGCTTCTGCTGATGGCGACGCTGACGGAGAAAGTAGAGAAGTGCCGGCGATGGTGTCTTCACTTGCCACACAATAAGACGACGGCTCCTAGGATGATCATGAGTGTAGATAAGAACTACTATTCAGCTAATTCTTTGCAACTTATCTCTAGTATAGGAGGAATAATTGGTCTATATTTGGGATATTCTATCTTTGATTTTCTAAACTACAGTCAGTCTCTCTTAATAGCACGAAGGTCCTATGTATTGGCTGGAATATCTAAAAAATTATTATCGACGATTCTTCGTGTAATAAAGATAACTATTCTTTTATTCAGTGCGGTTTTGGCTTGCTGGCAGGTTTACACTTTTCTCATAAATCATATGATATCATCGTCGATCAAACAGACCCCGAGGGCCAGGCGGAGTGAGTGTCTGTCGTTTACGGTGTGTCGGTGGCCTCCGCTTAGCCTCCCCCATGTTGCCACCCAACTGAGACTCAACATTACTGAGGCAGACTTACTAAAGCTTCCCAGAGAGAAGAGACAGCCGGAGTTGTTGAGGATGTTGGAGGCAATGCCTGGAAACTGGTCAGTATCATTGGATGAGCTTTGGTTTCGTGCTGCATGGAACATTACTGACGTTGTGGAAGGCTTCCAGGCAGTTATGAAAGAAAGGAAGATGCTCACTGGTTTCTGTAATGACTCTTCCATGTGTCAGAAGGTGTGGAAGCCTGTAATGACACCACTCAACCGATGCTTCTCTCTCAACGCTGTGTTTGGTAATTCTGATATTACTGAGATCACTCTGATCTTTCCTCAGTCTCTGGAAAAGACGAGTATTTTAGGACAAAGTCCTCAGATTTACTTCACCGTGAACCCTTCGAATGAACCGGTACTGATGGCCAACATGGTGCCGAAGACTGCGTATCATAGAATTATAGCAACGCACCACACCGCCAGTTACAAGCGTCTGGGCCAGGATAATGGTGAACGACTTGGTGAGAACATCACCCATAGTTCCTGCGTCCACAGGTGTCTTTCTGAGGGTGCCTCAGATCACCTACACTGCCGCTTACCTTATGTATCGTGGAGGCCAGACTTGGACGAATGTGATCAAAACCAATACACTGCTGTGCATAGATTCTTCAAAGGTTTAGGAGGGATCGGTGACTGGAATAATGTCAAAGACAATGAAAATGTCTCCCAAGACCTCCTTAATTTACACGACAAATGTTACAAGGAATGTCGCCACTTACAACACACATTCTTCGCTATGACAGTCGAGAAAGTGTTAGACAAGTACCCGACAGTGGTGGTGCGGTTCTCTGAAGAGGAAGAGGTGGTAGTGAGGGAAGAGGACCGCTACCCGTTGTCCAGCCTCCTGAGTGATCTGGGTTGCATTGCGGGCACCACTGCAGGGTTTTCCCTCCTGTTTGTACTGAAAGAGTTAGTGCCGCGAGCGATGACACGAGGGCAGCCACACACCTGAGGGCAGCCACACACCTGAGGGCAGCCACACACCTGAGAGCAGCCACACACCTGAGGGCAGCCACACACCTGAGAGCAGCCACACACCTGAGGGCAGCCACACACCTGAGACTCTGACCATTGCATGAAGCAAATATATCTTGGTAAAAACTTTCAAGTTGTATTGAGATGAAATACTCATATGACTGCTATTATCCCATTTCTTGGTATCATCATAAAAACACCCATCTGAATATATAAGCAAAGGGCTAGTAACCCCTTCTCATCTATAAATTACTATATGCAAAAAAGAAAAACTTTTCGTTTTATTTTTTAGGTCACCTTCCTCGGTGAAAGACGGCCGATGCATTGACAAAAAATAGTATGTACTCGCCTATTTGTGGCTGCAGGGGTTGATTCACAGCTCCTGGTGTGTGTGTGTGTGTGTGTATTCACCTAATTGTGGTTGCAGGGGTCAAATTCATAGCTCCTGGCCCCGCTTCTGCACTGGTCGCTACTAGGCCCACTCTCTCCCTGCTCCATGAGCTTTATCACACCTCTTGTTGAAGCTATGTATGGATCCTGCCTACACTACATCACTCTCCAGACTGTTCCACTTCCTGACAACTCTATGACTGAAGAAATACTTCCTAATATCTCCGTGACTCATCTGAGTCTTCAACTTTCAATTGTGACCCCTTGTGTCTCATCTCTGAAATTTCCTGTCCCTATCCACCTTGTCAATTCCTCTCAATATTTTTATGTCGTTATCATGTTCCCCCATCCCTCCTGTACTTCAGTATCGTCAGGTCGATTTCCCTTAACCTCTCCTTGTAGGACATACCACTTTGCTTCGGGACTAGTCTTGTTGCAAATCTTTGCATTTTCCCTAATTTCTTGACGTGTTTGACCAGGTGTGGGTTCCAAACTGGGCAGCATACTCCAATATAGGCCTGACGTACACGGTGAACGATGCCTTACTGAACTGTCGAAACGCTATTCATAGGCTTGCCAGGCGTCCACATGCTGCAGCAGTTATTTGGTTGATGTGCACCTCAGGAGATGTGCTTGGTATTACACTCACTCAAGATTCTTTTCCTTGAGTGAAGTTTTCAGCCTTTGCCCCCTAGCCTGTACTCTGCAGTCTTATATTCGCTTTCCCAGTCTTCATGACTTTGCACTCAGTGGGGATGAACTCCAGGAGCCAGTTTCTGGACCAGCCCTGCAGCCTGTCCAAATTCCTTTGTAGTTCTGCCTGATCCTCATCCGACTGAATTCTCCTCAATAACTTCACATCGTCTGCAAACAGGAACACTTCTGAATCTATCCCTTCCATCACGTCATTCACATATACC